TATTCTGAAAAGAATTATTATTTTTAGTCTAAAATGTCTGAGTGATAAGGGATTTGCAGCCCAGCTAACGCCGTCCCCTAAGTCTGAGCCACTCAACAGAGTTTAACCCTTATCCCAAATGTAATCCATTCAGATTTTTTTCAACTACAAGACCCAGCATCCCCCACTGCTCGCCAAGCTGTTTGTGGTTTCCAGGTTCTGTAGTTTTAGTAATAGAGCCTTGATAGTACAGGGGTTTAGTGCACCCTGTAATTAACACAGCTGCCTGCAATTTCTGCTGGTTCGAATCTCTCCAAGGCTCAAGGTTGACTCAGCCTTCCATCCTTTCTAAGGTAGGTGAAATGAGGACCCAGTTTGTGGGGGCAATAAGCTGACTTTGTATAAAACATACAAAAGAATGAAGGCTATTGCTTAACGCACTGTAAGCCGCCCTGAGTCTCCGGAGAAGGGCGGCATATAAATCAAATAAAAATATATATATATATCTGGAAGATCACAGGTTCTTTACTTCTGAGAACCAGAGAAAAGCAGGAAAAGGAATCAAACGGAAAGAAAGGAGAGGATATTAATAGAAGTTTTTTTCTTTATGACACCGGAAGGACCAATTGTAATATTCTTCATACGAGGGTAACCTAGGTAGCCCAAGAATCAGAAGATAAAACTCTTCTACACACTTTTATAGATCCATTAGTTTTTGGTGGCTGTTCTCTCAGTGAAGGAGCCAAGCTTCAGATAGATTGACTCAAAGTCACCCAGTTGGCTTTCATGCCTAAGGCGGAACTAGAACTCACCATCTCTTGGTGATTGGCTCAAAGTCACCCAGCTGGCTTTCATACCTATTGCGGGACTAGAACTCACAACTCCTGGTTTCTAACCTGATTCATTCACACTAGAGCAGGGGTCAGCAACCTTAAACACTCAAAGAGCCACAAAGGTCCTAACCGGAAGCCCCCATTCAATTCTGGAGCCGACCGGATGGTTCCCCCATCATAGTCTCCTCCTAGCGCGGCATCCTTTTTCCTCTACCTGTCCTAATCGAAAGCCCTATCAATTGTGGAGCTGACCAGCAACAGGGAGCCGCAGCAGAGGGATGAAAGAGCCACATGCGGCTCCAGAGCTGCAGGTTGCTGACCTCTGCATTAGAGCAAACTGGCTCTCCGAATTACTTAACAGCATAAAATTACTATCCTCTGCAGGTGAGGACACGCTCATCAAGACAGAGAATATGATGTCATGCCTCAGGGACGGTGGAGGGAAGAGGTGGAAGGATATGCAGAAATACTACCACTTACTCACTGGAGCCTCACTCCTTAAGCCACCTTCTCATCCTCCAATATTATACAGGAATGAATAATTCTATCAAGGTATTATTTCTCAACCATATGCAATTCGTAATTTTCAATCTTCCAACACCAATATGAACCCAAGTATTGAGGTGTCCCAAATCCTGGTTTTGGTATGCTTGAATTTTGAGGTCATCCAACTTTTAGGTGGTGCCAAGCTGGCAAATCTGAATTACGTACCATATATGATGTGGCACTAACACACTTGCATCTTGCGTGCAGTTTTCTGTGAAACAAGGAAATATGACTAATAGCTAAGCCTTCTTGAGAGTAACATCCTCCAGATTGCATTGCAAATGTACTGCAATGACTTCTTTTCAAATCTCTAGCAGAAGGAGGCTCTGTTAATCTGCTTCCACAGTTCCTACTTGTGATTGTTAGCACATGAATGGGAGATCCCAAGGAAATCCCAGGATTACAGAACAGGCTAGGGAAGCAAACTAATATTTCGAAAGAAGGCCACGGCAAACCCCGCTGCATTTCTGTCAAGAAATCCAAATACTGTAGTCCGAGTAACTTGAGTTTCTGAGATTCTGAGGAGGTTGACTTTTTGCCTCTCACGGTACATAATGGACAAAATTCGTAATCCAGAAGCTAAAACGTAGGAGGCACCGTTGCAGGAATTGGGTATGGCCAGTCTAGAGAAAACAAGGACATGGGGTGGACATGATAGCCCTGTTCCAGTATTTGAGGGGCTGCCACAAAGAGGAGGGGTCAATTTATTTTCCAAAACACTAGGAGGGCAGGACAAGAAACAACGGATGGAAACTAATCAAGGAGAGAAGCAACCTGGAATTGAGCAGAAACTTCCCAACAGTGAGGACAATTAACCAGTGGAAGAACTTGCCAACAGAAGTCGTGGGTGCTTCACCACTGGAGGTTTTTAAGAAGAGACTGGACAGTCACTTGTCTGAAATATTATAGGGTCTTTTGCTTCAGGATGGGGTTAGAATAACACAATAACAGAGTTGGAAGGGACCTTGGAGGACTTCTAGTCCAACCCCCTGCTCAGGCAGGAAACCTTATAACCTTTCAGACAAATGATTGTCCAACCTCTTTTTAAAAACTTCCAATGTTGGAGCAACCACAACTTCTGGAGACCAGTTGTTCCACTGATTAATTGTTCTCACTGTCAGGAAATTTCTCCTTAGTTCTAGGTTGCTTCTCTCCTTGGTTAGTTTCCACCCATTGCTTCTTGTTCTGCCCTCAGGTGTTTTGGAGACTAGCTTGACTCCCTCTTCTTTGTGGCAGCCCCTGAGATATCGGAACACTGCTATCATGTCTCCCCTAGTCCTTCTTTTCATTAAACCAGACATACCCAATTCCTGCAACTGTTCTTCATATGTTTTAGCCTCCAGTCCCCTAATCATCTTTGTTGCTCTTCTCTGCACTCTTTCTAGAGTCTCCATATCTTTTTTACATCGTGGCAACCAAAACTGAATACAGGTATTCCAAGGTGGTCTTACCAAGGCATTATAAGATGATATTAACACTTCAGGGGATCTTGATTGTATCCCACTTTTGGACTAGAAGACCTCCAAGGTTCCTTTCAGCTCTATTCTGATTGGTTGATAGGTCACCATATACTTTACAATCACCAGGTGGCGTACTATTATATGTGCTCCCATCTGCCTTAGCTGATCTGTGCGTGCCATCTACTGGCTGCAAAGTGCGTTGTCATCTGCCTCTGGATTTTAAAAAGAAACGCTGTTTGCAAAGCATTTTGCAAACGTTGAACATGTTCAAAGTAGCATTTCCCAGATTGCAATGAAATTCAATCTCAGTAATTCCTCACCCCTGTTGGAAATTATGGCAATTGGTCTAACATAGGGTTCCCTGGTGGTCTAGTGGTTAAGGATTCAGCACTGCACCACCCACAGCTGGATTTAATTCCTGGTCAGGGAGTGACTTTTCCTTTCAAAGGAGTTTCTGTAGTGTAGTGGTTATCACGTTCGCCTAACACGCGAAAGGTCCCTGGTTCGAAACCAGGCAGAAACAGCTCTTTAGTCTTTTTCAAGAATTCCCCAGTCATTTAAAGCTCCAGAGATTGAAAACATTTGGGGACTGTCCTTCAGCAGTGCAGGAGGGGTGGGAGGAGACGACAATTTTTACATTTTTACCTTGCAGCTATCAGTGACCAAAAGGTACCACTAGTGGGTTGGAGAGGACACGCCCTGGGGATGATGGAGAAAATAAGGACATTTTTGCATTGTGTCCCAAAGCTGCTTTCTCAAGAGGCAACTAGACTTTCTGGTTTTTTCTTTGAAGACGTTTCACTTCTCATCCAAGAAGCTTCTTCAGCTCTGACTGGATGGTGGGGAATGAAAGGATTTATATTCCTTGCAGACAGCTGGTCATTTGCATTCTTTAAGCTCCTTTCTTCATCTCTTTTCCCTTCTCCTCTCTCTCTCTCTCTCTCTCTCCCTCCTTCCATCTCCATCTCCCTCATTCCTTTTCCTCTCGAGCTGTTTTCCCTTTTCCATCCTTCCTTCTCCATGTCTTCTCCTTTCTCCTTCCTTCTTCCTCTAACTCCTTTCTTTTCATTCCGTTCCTCCTCCAGCTCTTTTCCTTTTCCTTCTTCCTTTTCTTTACTCCATTTTTCATCTCCCTCCCTCCCTCGCTTCTTTCCTTCCTTCTGCCTTCCTTCCTCCCTCTTTTCTTCCCCTTCTGCCTCCCTCCCTCCCTTCTCCCTCCCTTTCCTTCCCTTTCTTCCTCCCTCCCTTCCTTTACTCCCTCCCTTCTCCTTCCTCCCTTCTTTACTCACTCACTCCCTCCCTTTTCTTCCCCTTCTGCCTCCCTCCCTCCCTCCCTCCCTTCTTTCCTTCCCTTTCTGCCTTCCTTCCTTTCTTCCTCCCTCCCTCCCTTTTAGTCCCTCCCTTCTTTCCTTCTCCTCCCACTTATGACTGTTTGACTGTAACCTTGTTGCTGGTATCCTTAAGATTTATATTGACTGTTTCCTAATAGGATTTGATTGCTTATTTGTTCCCTCTGACTATCATTAAGTGTTGTACCTTATGATTCTTGACGAACCTATCTTGTCTTTTATGTACACCGAGAGCATAGGCACCAAGACAAATTCTTTGTGTGTCCAATCACACTTGGCCAATAAAGAATTCTATTCTATTCTATTCATTATTTTTTATTCTTTTCTTTTCTATTCTATTCTATTCATTATTTTTATTCTATTCTATTCATTCTTTTTTATTCTTTTCTATTCATTCTTTTCTATTCTATTCTATTCATTATTTTTATTCTATTCTATTCATTCTTTTCTATTCTATTCATTATTTTTTATTCTTTTCTATTCATTCTTTTCTTTTCTATTCATTATTTTTTATTCTATTCTATTCTATTCTATTCTATTCTATTCTATTCTATTCTATTCCCCTTCTGCCTTTCTTCCTCCCTCCCTCCTTTACTCCCTCCCTCCCTTCTTTTCTTCCCCTTCTACCTTCCTTCCTTCTTTCCTTCCTCTCTCCTCTCCTCTCCTTCCATCCCATCCCGCTTTTTCAGCCTCCCTCAGCCTCCCCTGTTCTTGGCGGCCACCAGATGGATCTCCAGGTGAGGACCGACGAAGAACGCAGCCACTCTGCCTGCCAGCCCAAAGCGAGCGCGGGCGAGGCGGCGGTGGCGACGCTGCTCCCCAATTCCCGCCATTAGCCGCCCCTGCGCCGCCCGGCCGCCTCCAGCAGGGGCTGCGCTTGTGGAAAAGCGAAAGTGAGCAGCCAGCGAGGGCTGCCGGGAAAGGCGTCGGCAGGAAGGGTGTGTGCCTGTTCGGAGCAGAAGGCAGCGGGTCCTGGGAAGGCAGGTAGGGCCTGGGCGTCGGGGACCCGGGCGGGGAGGGTGCCTTGCGCCAACGAGCAGCGGGCGGATGAGAAGCGGGCAGTTTCAAGATTGCACGCAACTCCCGTTGGGGAGCGTATCCTTTTCCCCCTTTGCGCTTTTTGCAAAATACACACGAATAATAAAAACAGGCCTTGGGCTGCTGCCTTTTTTTTCAGAGAGCGGCGCTTGTATCCTCAGCGAAATTATTAGCCTAATTAAACCGTCGCGGGGCTAATAAACCCCTAGGAAATAAAAAAAAAAAGGTTCGTATTACCGTAGATTATTTCCACACTACAGGATGTGGGGTTGTCGTCCTATAGTGTGGAAATTTCCCGGATCAGCTTCTTCCTTGGGTGTGGGTGGGTGCTTATTTTGAATTACAGATAACTCACTAGTCCTCATGATTCTACCCGCCTTAGGAAAACTTTGCTTTTGATCTAAACACCCCGTGGCTAAATGCACTGCTTAAAGAATTGCATCTTTCTGTGGGAAATGGCTCCAGGGTTGGGTTTTTTTGCCAGAGGGAGGAAAAATATAGTCTCTGCCATTGATTGATGTACATTGTACTTAGAAAAAATATACAGCCAGAAGCAAGACTTGATGGGGAGCAGAGGGTGGCAATTAAAAGGGATGAATATCAGGATAATTTGGAAAAATTAGCACTATTGAGCATTGAAATGCTCTGCTTAGAATAATGGTACTGGATGGGTTCCTTTCACAGAATCTTGTCCTGAGAAGGGGTTGGACTAGGTGACCTCTTTGATCCCTTCCATTTTTATGTATAAATGCATGTCACCCATTGCAAAAGCTCCGGGCAATGTACATTACAGATAGTCCTCAATGTACAACCATAATGGAGCCCATAATGGTTGCTGGGTAAGAAGTGAGTTGTGGCCCATTTCATTACCTTTTTGCCCCTGTTAAGTGAACTGCAGTTATTCAGTGAATCACGCCGTCATTAAGCGAACCTGGCTTCCCCCGCTCTCTTCATCGGAAGCCAGATGGGAAGGTGACATGCTGATCACATGACCTGGGGATAGTGCAACTATCAGAAATACATGCCAGTTGCCCAGCACCCAAATTTTGATCATGTGTCCATGGGGATATACAATGGTTGTAAGTGTGAAAACCGGTTATAAGTGACTTTTTTCATTGCTACTGTAACTTTGAACGGTCACTAAATGAATGGTTGTAAGTCAAGGACTACCTGTATTTTATGTAACATTCAACATTCTAAAACCATCCAACATTCTAAAATAACCTTCTGACCTTCAAAACAAGCTTAGATTAGGGTTTCTCAACCTTAAGATATGTGGACTTCAACTCTCAGAATTCTTAGCAATCAATGGCCATGCTGGCTGGGGAAATTCTGGGAGTTGAAGTCCATATCTTAAAAGTTAGGAAGGTTGAGAATCACTGCTCTTTGGTTATGTGTTAGACCCAAGTATCTATTGTGTTAACAATTAACAAATGCTCTTGTAGAATGATGTTCTTCATCCAAGCACATGCGTTGTGACTTTTGTCATAGTTTTGTGTCAGGATGTGTAATTGGCTGGAAGGTGTCGAAGGTGTGGCTGCCTTCAAAAGTGTTCTGGAAAGTTTAATAATTCAAAGGCAAACTTAATTAACCAGACCTGGGGGGAGATCACTCACCAGTTCTGAAATAGCTATATAACTTCCTTGCCCTGTCTTGGAGATGAATCCAAAAGTCAATCATAGAGCCTTGGTGGCACAGAGGACTAAACTACTGTTAAAAGTAGTACTTAGCTGCCAGCTGCCTGCAATTATTGCAAGTTCAATTCTCACCAGGCTCAAGGTTGACTCAGCCTTCCATCCTTTCGAGGTAGATAAAATGAGGACCCAGTTTGTGGGGGCAATTGTTGTGGCTCCGTTACCTGAGCCTGTGTCATCGGCAGGAGAGGACTCCGAGAGTGAAGGAGAGGAGTTAGCAAGGCCTCCCTCTCCAGGACCCTCCTCTCTGGCAATGCCTTCGGTGTCCGCCGAAGGGCAAGAGATAGGGCCGGGGCCAAGCACGTCCATGCAGTCACAGGTGGACAGTGATGAGGGAAATGAGTCTTGGCTGGATCCTCGGCAGCGTCGCAGAGATAAGTGTGCGCAACAGAAGAAAAGGCGTGCCAGAGATTAAGCTGAGTCACTGGACCACACCCCACAGGGTATAAAAGGGGGTGAGGTGGCCATTCAGACTCTGTGACGGACAAAACTAACTACTATCGAGTCACATTGCATCTTTGGAAACAACATTATCGGCCTTGGATTTATTTTACGAACTGGACAATTCTTAACTGTGTGTATTTTGTTTATGAGTAAAGTTCTTGGCAAGCAGCTACTGGGTTGCTGCCAAACTTCTTATCGGAAGAATTGGTTGTCTGCCAGTTTATTTAACCCCCGGCTGTCTGTTTGTGTGCGTGTGTGAGACGGGGACAGAACAGCAATAAGCTGACTTTGTATAAAATAGAACACCGCTCGTGGGGGCCAAAAAGCCCTACTAAACAAAAGTATGAAGGCTATTGCTTAATGCATTGTAAGCCGCCCTGAGTCTCCGGAGAAGGGCGGCATATAAATCGAACTAATAAATAAACAAATAAATAAATCATGAACTTCAAAGTTCTGTAAGACTTGGAATTTGTATATATGTCCCTTTTCATATTGACCAAAGTCAAGTTCCAAGCATCTCCACCATCTTAGAAGTCTTTGGCAACTAAGGAAACACAAGCATGGCTGAGAAATTCTGGAAGTTGAGATCCAAAAACCTTATAAAGTTGCCAAATTTGGAGATCCCTGCAATAGAAGTTTAGGAGCAGTGGACAAACTCTGATCCACTTGCTTGTGCTTTGTTTTTTAAAAATTGGTTATTTCAGCTCTGAGGATTCCAGAGACATGCCTAAGTAGCAGAACTCAAAAGTTGCCAGATTTGTGATCTAGAAGGAGATTCTCTGGATTAGGTGCCTTTCAGGTATGTTGGACTTTGTGACTTCCATCTTTTGACTTCCATCTCCAGTTCATGTAGAAACTGTGGGAATGGACCTTAGCACATCTGGAGAGCACCAGGTTAAGGAAGGTGCAGTGTGAATGTTCATAGAAACAAGCAGCTTCGGCTACACCAGGATTTCCCAATCTTGACAACTTCCAGATGTGTGGCCTGTGTGACATTCCAGGAGATGGAATCCATATATTTGGAACTTGCCAAAATCCCTGGGTTGGAGCAAGCTCAGTGACCAGTTTAGTTGGCATCGGTGGCTTCATTACCTTCAGTAGATTCATCAAGAATTCTTTGTCCATAAGAACTAACTCTTTGGTGTTTCCAGCATGGATCTTTTCATAATTTAATTCTAATTGGTGATACTGGGAATGAATGTGAGATTTTCTGCATGCAGAATTGGTGTTCTATCATCAAGTCACAGTTATTCTCTGTTCTTTTGGTGCTGGGTCCAAAGCTGGGTTGATTTTAAGGAATCTGTTTGAATTGCAAGCTTGGCTGCAGATTTAGGCACTGGGCCAATCAGGTAGTTCATTGAATAGATTCCTAGGTCTGAAGCGGTTTAATTTGAATGGGGGAATGTGTAGGGCTGTAGTGCAGGGGTGAAATGCTCCCGGTTCGGACCGGATCGCCCGATCTGGTAGGAATGGTGGTGGGTGGTTCAGAGAACCGGTAGCAAAAATCCCTGCGCGCGCCCCCCCCCATGCCCAGCTGAGCCGCGCGATCATCAGAGGCTTTTTTTTTTTTTTACTTTTAAAAGCATTTTTTCCTGCAACCTCTTCAGCCGAAAAAATGCTTTTAAAAGTAAAAAAAAAAGCCTCTGATGATCGCGCGGCTCAGCTGGGATCGTCAGAAGCTTCTAAAAGTATTTTTTCTGCAACCTCTTCAGCCGAAGAGGTTGTAAGAAAAAAAATGCCTTTAAAAGCCTCTGGTGATCCCAGCTGAGTTGCCTGATCGTCAGAGGCTTCTAAAAGTATTTTTTTCTGCAACCTCTTCAGCCGAAGAGGTTGTAGAAAAAATACTTTTCAAAGTTAAAAAAAAAAAAGTTGGCCACGCCCACCCAGTCACATTACCCCACCACCACCAAGCCACGCCCACAGAACTGGTAGTAACAAATTTTAGATTTCACCCCTGGTGTAGTGTATTTTAATTCTGAGTGAAGATGAAAAAACTTCTAGTTCTGGAGTAAACTATATCTCCCACTATTGGACATCTCCCACTATCCAGCAACATCTGGAGGGCTTCACATTGTTCTGCCCTGATGCAAGCAGGATGTATTCATTCATTCATTCATTCATTCATTCATTCATTCATTCATACATTCGATTTATATATGCCGCCCTTCTCCGGAGACTCAGGGCGGCTTACAATGCATTAAGCAATAGCCTTCATACTTTTGTATATACCTGCTTAGTAGGGCTTTTTGGGCCCCCCTGAACGGTGTTCTATTTTATACAAAGTCAGCTTATTGCCCCCACAAACTGGGTCCTCATTTCCCTATCACAACAGGGGAAACAGAAAGGCCAGATATGAAATAAGATATGAAACAAGAGCAGCAAAGAAGATTAGGGGACTGGAGGCTAAAACATGTAAAGAATGGTTGCTAGAATTGGGTATGTCTGGTTTAATGAAAAGAAGGACTAGGGGTGACATGATAGCAGCCATCCAATATCTAAAGGGCTTCCAGAGAGAAGAGAGAGTCAATTTATTCTCCAAAGTACCTGTAGGCAGGATAAGAAGCAATGCGTGGAAACTTATCAAAGAGAGAACCAACCTAGAAATAAAGAGAAATTTTCTGACAGTGAGCACAATTAATCAGTGGAACAGCTTGCCTTCAAAAGTTACAGATGCTCCAACACTGGAGATTTTTAAGAGATTGGACAACCATTTGTCTGAAATGATATAAGGTCTCCAGTTTGAGCAAGGGGTTGGACTAGAAGTATAACTATAATTTTATTTCTATAACGCCGTTCTCCCAAAGGACTCAGGGCGGTGTACAGCCTATTTAAAAACACAAGACAAACATCAGTTAAAAATTTAAAATTATTAAATAAATTCGGCTCAATTTAAAACCCCAGAAATTTAAAATACCCCAATTTAAAATTATTATGTTGATAGCCTGGCCTGGCGGAACAACAGGGTCTTCAGTGCACAGCGAAATACCCTGAGGTCGGAGATCTTACGCATTTCCGGGGGCAGTTCATTCCACAGGGCTGGGGCTCCCACAGAGAAGGCCCTCCCCCTGGGTGTCGCCAGCTGACATAACTTGGCTGATGGCACCCTGAGGAGACCCTCTCTGTGGGAGCGAACTGGCCGGTGGGAGGCTATTGGTGGCAGAAGTCAGTCTCGAAGGTACCCGGGTCCTTTGCCATGGAGCGCTTTAAAGGTGGTGATCAACACCTTGAATTGCACCCGGAAGACCACTGGGAGCCAGTGCAGCTCGCGCAGGAGGGGTGTCACATGGGCACAACGAGTTGCGCCCATAACCACCCGCGCGGCCGCATTCTGGACCAGTTGGAGCCTCCGAGTGCTCTTCAAGGGGAGCCCCATGTAGAGAGCATTACAATAGTAATGCTCCAGCCTGCTTCCAGCCCTGCTATTCTGAAATCCCAATTTCCTTTTTCTTTTCCAGACTCTCTAGGCGTCAAGATGTTCTTTACCTGTGGCCCCAATGAAGCCATGGTTGTCTCGGGTAAGTGCTCCATTTCTTGTTCCTTTTTCTTAGCTTTCTTATCCAATCGGATCAGCCTTCAGGGTGGCCACAAAATGTGGCAGTATGCTTAATGTCAGGGTTCCAAGTAACACCCCCAATGAAAGAAGACTCTGAGGCTTGAGTTTCCTCAAAGTTTCATTTTATTAGAGATGTCATATTGGTACATCTGGGAAAACCCGAATCTGAAAGTTTCCAGGTTTTCCCCACCCAAAGGAAAGTCCAAGCCCCTGCCCAACACCCACAAATCCATCACATGGTCCAATCAAAGCACCATCCCAACTGGAGATGCCTCCCAGCCACTCCCCTCCAGGTGCAGGGCAAGATGTCCTTGACTCTCTGAGAAAAGAATGTTATTATGACTACATATCACCCTTGCTCCATACAATCCCCCCTCCCAGTTTCCCACAGTAGTAATTGTGGCAGGCCTGAAGGCCCAATGCAAAAGTTGGCTTCCAGGCCTGACACCTTTGTTCAAGCTAGCCATGATTTCTTTCAGATTGCTCTGTTCCAGAATGCATGGATCGCTTTGTACATTCCACCATCTTTGGGCTGTTCAGATGAAGTTGGCTCTTTAGGATTTCATTTGGAGAAACCGTTTTCTCTTCTTTTTAACTATTCGGTGCTTTTATTTTCACAAAGTGGATTTCTTCCATCAAGGGCTGTCCCCCTGGTTGTGCCGGCTTCCCGTTTCCCAACAATCACATTTTGGCTGCACAGCCATTAAAGCACAGGCTCAAACTTTTTATTAATAGGGCTGTGCAGCATAGGGCAACTGTATAGTCCTAGGAAAAGACACAGCTACTTTAAAGAGTTATTGAAGAGTGTTAAAGATCATTTCTAAAGCAGATTTTTAGAACAGAAGCCAAAGTGTTTGGGATCTATAACAAAATCATACCCTATTGGATAGTATTGCTCACCAATCCCCGTGCTTTTTTTTAGAATACAGGGAGTCCTTGACTTATGATCACAAAAGGGACCAGAATTCTCATTGCCAAGCGAGGTTGTTCTTATGTGACTTGTGCCTAATTCTTATGCCGCAGTTATTAAGCAAATCACTGCAGTTGTTAAATGAATCATGCGGTCCTGAAGCAAATCCGGTTTCCCTCATTGACTTTGCTTGTTGGAAGCTGGCTGGGAAGGTCAGCCTCTGGGAGGCTGCGACTGTCATAATTACATGCCTCTTGCAGAGTGCCTGAATTTTGATCACATGACCATGGGGATACTGCAACGGTCGTAACTGTGAGGATCAGTCATAGATGGAGACTGGAGGCTAAAACATATAAAGAATGGTTGTTGGAATTGGGTATGTCTAGTTTGATGAAAAGAAGGACTAGGGGAGACATGATAGCAATGTTCCAATATCTCAGGGGCTGCCACAAAGAAGAGGGAGTCAAGCTATTCTCCGAAGCACCTGAGGGTAGGATAAGAAGCAATGGGTGGAAACTAATCAAGGAGAGAAGCAACTTAGAACTAAGGAGGAATTTCCTGACAGTGAGAACAATGAACCAATGGAACAACTTGCCTCCAGAAGCTGTAAAGCTCCAACATTGTGTTCTGCCCCAGCTACGGACCCCAAAGAACGCAGCACACACAAAGTCCGTACAAACCTTATTTTACTAATTAAGGACTACTAATGAGCTTTCTTAGTAGTTGTTCGAACACAAGTACAATTTTAAATCAGTCTTTTCTGAACAAGGGCTGTTAATTTAACTTCATTAACAGCCGACAAGAATTCAAAGAATAATAACTCAGTTCTGAGGCACAGTATTTCAGATAACCATAATCTTACTGTGGTTGGCAGAATGCCCAGAAGCAATTTGCAGGAAAATTGATAAGAGAGAAATAAGAGCGGAATCAAACGTTTTCTGGAATCAAGAAGCGAAGGAATATGAACGAAGTTGTTTCCTGCAAATTGCATCAGTCGTCGTCCTTCCTTAAATAGGCTAGGGGAGTGGCCAATTAGCCCCAAGCCTTACTCTCGAGGAGACCTCCTCCTGAGTAGCCACTCCTGCCTTTTGGCAGCTCTGTGTGCTCGTGCATCAAGAAGAGGCTCCTCCTCTTCTTCCTCTTCACTTAAGGAAGCTTCTGGAGGTTCTGAAGGCCCTGGCTGAATCCCTGCCTTTGGCACCACATCTTCTCCAGCCTCCTCATTGTCTGACTCGAGCGCCAGCTGCACAGGCTGCTGGCGTAGCACCACACCAGCCTCCTCGCTGTTGGAATCAGCTACTAGCTACACAGGCCGCTAACGGGCCACAACACATTGGAAGTTTTTTAAGAAAAGATTGGACAACCATTTGTCTGAAAGGGTATAGGGTTTCCTGCCTAAGCAGGGGGTTGGACTAGAAGACCTCCAAGGACCCTTCCAACTCTGTTATACTATTCTATTCTAGATCACTTTTTTTCCAGTGCCGTTGCAACTTCAAAATGGTCACTAAACCAATAGTTGTAAATCGAGGACTACTTGTATTACAGTCAGTTTCCTATTCCTTTAATTCAGGGATCTCCAAACTTGGCAACTTTTAAGATTTACGGACTTCAACTCTGAGAATTTCCCAGTCAGCATGGAATTCTGGGAGTTGAAGTCCATAAGTCTTCAAAGTTCCCAAGTTTGGAGACCCCTGCATTAATTGGCCATATTTCTTCATTTTCCCAAAGAAATGACCAGTTTCTGTGCCTGCTAAACGGTTTTCTGTTGAGCTCCTTTTGTTTTTTATTATCAGTTTTAGAAAACAAACAAACCCAAAATGAACAGTTGACCGAGGAATCTGATTGACTGGGCTGATTGAGGGATCTGATTGTCTTGGGTAGATTCTGCACTGTTTTATCTCTTTCCCCAGGTTTCTGCCGCAGTCCCCCAGTGATGATTGCTGGGGGCCGGGTGTTTGTGATACCGTGCGTACAACAGATCCAGAGGTAAATCTTTCTGTGGAGGCTCTATTTAAAGATATCCAGGATCTCACCAAGGTTGGACTAGTCTTTTCAATGAGCAATGGTATCCTGTTGGTTTCATTTCAGTTGCCCATCCAAAAACCTAAATAGGGCTGACCCTGCTTAGCTTCCGAGAACAGTCAGGGTTGGTAGGATGCTGAGGCATTCAACCACATTGGCATCCTTCAAACATTAATCTTATAGGGTGTTGTGGATTACAAGTGGAATTCAAGTTTGCCCTATTTTGCCCTCATTGCGTTAATAGATAGAAACACAGGGTGACATGTTTCTTAGATCTAAAACTTCATGGATGTGTTGCTTGTATGTGTTTTAACCCTTTTCTTTCCACTCTTACAGGATCTCACTTAACACTCTGACCCTGAATGTGAAGAGTGAGAAAGTTTACACCCGGCATGGAGTCCCCATTTCAGTCACTGGCATCGCACAGGTAATATTTTTATTCAGCAGGACACTGAAGGATATCGTGGGAATATCAAACACCTGAAGGCAGGACAAGAAGCAATGGATGGAAACTAATCAAGGAGAGAAGCAACCTAAAACTAAAGAGAAATTTCCTAACAGTGAGGACAATTAACCAGTGGAACAACCTGCCTCCAGAAATTGTGGGTGCTCCAACACTGGAGGTTTTTAAGAAGAGACTGGACAGTCACTTGTCTGAAATGGTATAGGGTTTCCTGCTTGAACAAGTGGTTGGACTAGAAGACCTCCAAGGCCCCTTCCAACTCTATTATTCTGTTCTGTTCTGAGAAGCAACCTAACCACTGGGGAAAAGCAGACTACAATCCCAAATGAATTCATTTTATTTTCCTATTCCTCTGGTGGATTTTTAGGTAACGTTTCGGCCATCCCTGAAATGATGTATTATCTTCCACTTGCTTCCTTGTGCAAAATGCATCCAACTGGGCCTCAGTTGTGCCCAGCGTTAAAATCACCAAATACAGGTAGTCCTCAAATTACAAACGATGATAATAGAGGCTTGCCTAGCATGATTGTAAATCAGGACAGTTGTAAAGGAATAGAATAGAATAGAATAGAATAGAATAGAATAGAATAGAATAGAATAGAATAGAATAGAATAGAATAGAATAGAATAGAATAGAATAGAATAGAATTTTTATTGGCCAAGTGTGATTGGACAAAAAAGGAATTTGTCTTGGTGCATATGCTCTCAGTGTACATAAAATAAAAGATACGTTTATCAAGAATCATAAGGTACAACACTTAATGATAGTCATAGGTTACAAATAAGCAATCAGGAAACAATATCAATATAAATCGTAAGGATACCAGCAACAAGGTTACAGTCATAAGTAGGAGGAGATGAGTGATGGGAACGATGAGAAGATGAGAAGATTAATAGTAGTGCAGACTTAGTAAATAGTTTGACAGTGTTGAGGGAATTATTTGTTTAGCAGAGTGATGGCGTTTGGGAAAAAACTGTTCTTGTGTCTAGTAGTTTTGGTGTGCAGTGCTCTATAGTGTCATTTTGAGGGTAGGAGTTGAAGCAGTTTATGTCCAGGATGTGAGGGGTCTGTAAATATTTTCACAGCCCTCTTTTTGACTCGTGCAGTATACAAGTCCTCAATGGAAGGCAGGTTGGTAGCAACTATTTTTTCTGCAGTTCTAATTATCCTAATTATTCTAAAGTGGGTTGGTCCTGTGCCTGACCCAATTTTACAACCTTTTTTTGGTGGATGTCGTTAAGTGAATCAACGGTCATCAAATGAACCATTTGTTCACTATGGACATGGTTTTACTCAAAACCGGGACTAAATGCCAGGTTGGCCAAAATTGTAAACTGATCATATGAATGCAGGACACCGTAGTTTTGGCCTGGTTGCCAAGCAGCTGAAGTGCAGTCAGCTGACAGGGGGTGGGGCGCATGGAGACAGGATTCAGAATTTTGAATCCTGATTTTAAGTACAGGTAGTCCTCAACTTACAACCCTTTATTTAGTGACGGTTCAAAGTTATAATGGCCCTGAAAAATGTGATTTATCACCATTTTTCACACTTACAACCAGTGGTGGGATTCAAGTAATTTAACAACCGGTTCTCTGCCCTAATGATTTCTTCCAACAACCAGTTTTCCAAATTGCTCAGAAAGTTAACAACCGGTTCTCCCGAAGTAGTGCAAACTGGCTGAATCCCACCACTGCTTACAACCATTGCAGCATCCCCAGGATCAAAATCCAGCTCCTTGGCAACTGGGTTCATATTTATGACGTGTGCAATGTCTCGGGGTCATGTGATCCCCATCTGTGAACTTATGACAAGCAAAGTCAATGGGGGCAGCCAGATTCCCAATGTCAGGTTTCCAAGTGATGAAACCCATTCAGAAAAGAAATAGGCAAAGTCCATCTTCCAAAACAAATTTCTTTTATTTAGGTAGGCATCAAATTGGCAAAGACTGTTGTAATTCCGGATCTGACACAAACCGGAATTACACCACATAATATTGAAAATTAGAAACATCCCACAAAAGTCACATTCCCCAATAAAAGTAAAATCAACATTGCCCAGTCTCTTCAAACTCCACCTTCAGCTCTCAGCAAGGACAGCCACCGTTCCCACGGGAGGGAAGATCACCCAGCCAAAATAATGCTCACTATCTATTCCCTCCTTCCACCTTAAGAATGTGGCAAGCCCGAAAAAAAACTTATAAAACAGAGAAAGAAAAGGAATAAATGAGTATAATAATAATAATAATAATAATATAATATAATAATCTCGTCAAGGCTGCATGCCGCTCAATGCTGGACCCAGCTGGTTGCTGAGCGGAGCTTCCCCCACTGTCCCAGGCATCCAGGTGGATATTACCGACGCTCCGACTTCCCAGGACAGCTGGGGCTCGCCATCACTGGGGGTCAGCTGGGGAAGTCAGAGTATCGGTAATATCCACCTGGATGCCTGGAACGGTGGGGGAAGCTCCGCTCAGCAACCAGCTGGGTCCAGCATTGAGCGGCATGCAGCCTTGACGAGATCGGCACAGCTTCCCGAATCTGAGTTGCCGGCGCTGACCGATGACGCTACGGGAGTGCCGACAACATTGAGGGGAAGCTGTGCCGATCTCGTCAAGGCTGCATGGGTGACAGGACAGGGTGACAGGAAAAAAACCTGGTATGAAATACCATATTGAAATCAAATCTGATATTTTTTAATTTTTATTTGGTGTGTGTTGGAAGAGGGGTAGTCTTATACGGCGAGTATAGCCCAAACCCTATATTTTAACAGGAAAAGTAGGGGGTCGTCTTATACGCCCGGTCGTCTTATACGCAGGAAAATACGGTATATGCAAAATTTTGGATTTATTTATTTTGTCCTGTTTATGTAGTGTATATTGGAGGTGGTGGCCCTTTGAGAATTGCATGCAACGAAATTTCATTTTAATGTATGCCGATCAGTGTACATTCAAAGTGACAATAAAGTTATTCTAAGTCTAAAGTTATTTTAAATCTGTAACCCCAAGATAGATATGTCAGAACCTTTAATGATTGCTAAGTGACTGATCATAAGTCAACCACTACCTGTTTAATGAAGGGATGCGGTGGCTCAATGGCTAAGATGCTGAGCTTGTTGATCGAAAGTCGGCAGTTAATCGGTTTGAATCCCTAGTTCCGTGTAACGGGGTGAGCTCCTTTTACTTGTCCCAGCTTCTGGCAACCTAGCAGTTCGAAAGCATGTAAAAAATGCAAGTAGAAAAATAGAAACCACCTTTGGTGGGAAGGTAACAGCTTTCCATGCGCCTTTGGCCTTTAGTCATGCCAGCATCTTTGGACAGCGCTGGCTTTGGACAGCGCTGGCTCTTCAGCTTTGAAACGGAGATGGGCACCGCCCCCTAGAGTTGGGAACGACTAGCACATATGTGTAAGGGGAACCTTTACCTTTACCTGTTTAATGTTGGGGGGACCTTGAGAGGTTTTCAGCCTTCAACCTAGGACAGAATTCTCATAATTCTGACAAATGAACCGTTGCTTGATTTGATGTGATGGAACTCTCTTTTGAGACGGAGAGTACAATCACTAGTTGCTTAGAGAAAAAAAACCTCCTTAGTCTGACAAACCCCATATGGGGGGAGGGGAGATCAGATATGAGCAGGAAGCGCTTCCCATCCTTCCTTCCTTCCTTTCACTTTCTAATCTACACCATCTTTTCCCACCTAGGTGAAGATCCAGGGCCAGAACAAGGAGATGCTGGCAGCTGCTTGTCAAATGTTCCTGGGCAAGTCTGAAGCAGAAATTACATATATTGCTCTGGAGACCCTGGAAGGGCATCAGAGAGCCATCATGGCCCATATGACAGTAGAGGTAAGGCTCTCTACTGCTCTCCGTGGCACACGGAGCCATATCTGTGGCCACACAAGTGTTGCCCTAGCTCAGCTCCAGCACGCATGTGCATACCGGCCAGCTAATTTTCAAGCCTTCCGGAAGTCGGGAAAGGGGCCGTTTCCGGCCTCCAGAGCAGGGGTGAAATGCTCCCGGTTCGGACCGGCTCGGGCGAGTAGGTAGCGATGGCGGCAGGCAGTTCGGAGAACCGGTAGCAAAAATCCCTGCCCCCGCCCCCCATGCCCAGCTGAGCCCCGCGATCATTAGAGCCTTTTTTTCCTTTTAAATGGCTCTGACCAGCCAAGCTCTGACATCCCAGCTGATCAGGCAACTCAGCTTGGATTGCCAGAGCCATGTAAAAGAAAAAAAGTTTCTTTTTTTTCTCACCCCCCCCCCTCCCAGCCTCCAGCTTGCTTACCTTAGCTGCTGATCGCATGGCGATCACAATCCATGCATCAGCAATCTCCCTGCCTGCAATCAAGCTCATTGGTGAGCAGCTCTATCTGCAACTTTAAGACTTGTGGACTTCAACTCCCAGCAAAGCTGGCTGAGGAATTCTGGGAGTTGAAGTCCACAAGTCTTAAAGTTGCCAAGGTTAGAGACCCCTGTTCTATTGGGTACGTTTTTTTCCCCTTTGGGAGCTTTAAAAAAAATAGTTAATTGGGGTTTCTTTTAGTTGTTCTTTTTTTAGACTTAGCCATTTAAAGTTTAGGAAGTTTTAAATTTAGCTGTTTATATAAAAATTAAAATAAAATAAAATAATATTTGTGCAGCTTTCTGAGATTTAGTGTGTTTCTGTAGTGTTTCACTCTAACTACACAAACACACAAAATCTCACAAAGCTGTATGTGGAATTTTGTGTGTGTAAAGTGTGAAAGTTGGTTTTTTGGGCTTTTTGTGGCTGTGTGAGGTTCCTGCTTGTTGCGGGGCCATTTTGAGTCTAGCACAGCTGCTTTTACATTGTGGGTGAGCCAGTTGTGTTGTGTTGTGTTTTGTAGGTTAAAAAAGGGCAAAGAAGTGACATTGACTTGGCCACGCCCACCCAGTCACCTTACCACCAAGCCCCGCCCACTAATTAAGCCATGCCCACAGAACTGGTAGCAAAAAAATTTAGATTTGACCCCTGCTCCAGAGGGCCTCTGGGTGTGGGGTGGGAAGGCCATTTTTGCCCTCCACAGGTTCCAAGAAAGCCTCTGGAGCCTGGGGAGGGTGAAAAACGGGCCTACCGGTAACCTTTTTGCTGTCGCATGCCAAAAGTGGGGGAAGGGCAGGGGGGCACTGAATTATGGGTGTGGGCACATACACCCGCGATCCCCCCCCTGCGACCCCCGCTTTTGGCACACGGCAAAAAGGTTAGCCATCACTGCCCTAGGGCCCAGGGGTGGGCAAATGTGGCTCTTTTACAACCTATGGACTTCAACTCCCAGAATTCCTGAGCCAGTTTGGCTGTCTCAGGAATTCTGGGAGTTGAAGTCCACAGGTTGTAAAAGAGCCACATTTGTCCACCCCTGCCCTAGGCTATAGGATAAAAAGAAGAGTTTATGCTGCTTTTATCATCATCTTTTAATGACCCCATAATCCCTTGTGGGGTGGAGTCTGAGCTACTGAATGGAGCTGAGTGCTTACTAGCCGGATGCCCTTCCTGTCAACAATGTGGAGGTTTTTTCAGCACATATATTCTCACTGTTCCCAGAGAGAGAAATATCAGCCTCTTATCTAGGCTCGAACTCACAGCTTCCTGATTGTGAGAAGAGAGTTCCACCTCTAGGCTACTGCACCACTCTAGCTGATGCTGCTTCTGCTTCTAGAGGGGCTTAAAAACTGGTGAACAGAATCTCTGCTTGGTACTGACATAGTTACCTCTCTTTGTTAAACAGGAAATCTACAAGGACCGCCAGAAGTTTTCAGAGCAGGTCTTCAAAGTTGCCTCGTCTGACTTGATCAACATGGGGATCAGCGTGGTCAGTTATACCCTCAAGGATATTCACGATGACCAGGTGCACATATATGCTGTTTTGTATCGATGCAAACCATTTTCCATGTCACTGAGAAAGTTCAATCTTTCTGATACTGACAGTCAAGTTTTGGGCTGAACGTATTGACTGATTGATTGGATTTATATTTGTCAGTCTTTCCAACATCGGCCAAGTCAAGAAATAATTATATTAAGTTTGACCGGAACTCTATGGTTGTAAGCAGGGGTGAAATGTAAAATTTGTTACTATCGGTTCTGTGGGCGTGGCTTGGTGGTGGTGGGAGTAATGTGACTGGGTGGGCGTGGCCAACTTTTTTTTTTTTTTTAATTTTTCAAAGCATTTTTTCTACAACCTTTTCGGCCGAAGAGGTTGCAGAAAAAATGCTTTGAAAAGCCTCTGACGATCCCAGCTGACAACTCAGCTGGGATTGTCAGAGAGACTTTTCAGAGCATTTTTTTTACCACCTCTTCGGCTGAAGAGGTTGCAGAAAAAATGCTTTTAAAAGTAAAAAAAAAAAAGCCTCTAATGATCGCGCGGCTCAGCTGGGCATGGTGGGGAGGGGGGCGCAGGGATTTTTGCTACCAGTTCTCCGAACCACCAGCCACCATCGCTACCAGATCGGGCGATCCGGTCCGAACCGGGAGCATTTCACCCCTGGTTGTAGGCTATAGTAACAAAATCTTGAAAGTGTTCCCTTCCTATAGTGAATTAAGGTGGAACCGAAATGAATTTTTAAGGTAGCATAGATATTACTCTCTTCCTATTTTTCTCCACAACCTTATGACATAGGTTGGGTTGAGAGAGAATGATGAGTTCAAAGTACTTCAGGGAGAGGATTAGAACCTGGGTTTCCTCATCTGGGACAGGATTAGAGCTTGTCCATTCTGCAATTGTTCAGTCACCCAAGAAAAAAAAGTCAGAATTCAGGCATTAAAACGTAAAGGTTCCCCTCACACATACAGTATGTGCTAGTCGTTCCCGACTCTAGGGGGTGGTGCTCATCTCCGTTTCAAAGCCAAAGAGCCAACACTGTCCGAAGACGTCTCCATGGTCATGTGACCGGCATGACTAAATGCCAAGGCCGCACGGAACGCTGTTACCTTCCCACCAAAGGTGGTCCCTATTTTTCTACTTGCATTTTTCATGTGCTTTTGAACTGCTAAGTTGGCAGAAGCTGGGACAAGTAACGGAACTCACCCCGTTACGCGGCACTAGGGATTCGAACCGCTGAACTGCCGACCTTTCGATCGACAAGCTCAGTGTCTTAGCCACTGAGCCACCGCGTCCCTTAATTCAGGCATTACCAGATTTTATTTGCACAGTGAGTATTTTCTGGATTCTGGATTGCTTTTCCTGACCATCATCTTCCCCTTTTGTCAATTGTAGGATTATCTTCATTCTCTGGGAAAAGCCCGAACTGCTCAGGTACAGAAGGATGCCAGGATTGGAGAAGCTGAAGCCAAAAGGGATGCTGGCATCAAGGTGAGCTCTTGGGCAATTGTGGAAGGTCTTTGCCTATGTGACTATCTACCTGGTTTTAGAGATTGCTGGAGTGTCAGGCCTGGAAACCATCTTTTGCCTTGGATCTTCAGGCCTGCCACATCTACTACTGTTGGAAACTGGAAGGGCGGGGGGGGGGATTGTATGGCGTAGGGGAGATATCTAGCCATAATATTCTTTTCTCAGAAAGTCAAGGACATCTTGCTCTGCACCTGGAGGGCTGGAACTGGGAGGCATCTCCAGTTGGGACGGTGCTTTGATTGGACCATGTGATGGACATGTGGGTGCTGGGCAGGGACTTGGACTTCTCTATGGGTGGGGAAAACCTGGAAGCTTTCAGATTCGGGTTTTCCCAGATGTGCCAATATGACATCTCTAATAAAATGGAACTTTGAAGAACTTCTAGAGGTTTTTAAGGAATGATTGGACAGCCATTTCTCTGGCATGGAATAAGGTGGTCTGACTTGGGCAGGGGGTTGGACCAGAAGACCTCCAAGGTCCCTTCATGCACTATGATTCTAAGCAGGTTCAGATCTGGATATTAATTGGATGGGAGACCACTTGGAAACCCCAGAGCTGTAGAAAGGAAGGCTGTGACTGCCCAACGATTATCAGCAACCCAAATAGACTTTCCCATGAACTCACCAGGAGTCAAACAAAAACTTGAGAATCTTTTTAATCAAAACTACTTTGATGCTCATAGCTTTTGCACTATCTCTGAGCTCTTGCCTCTTTCTTCCCATTGGGCACTGCCTCTTGAGTTCTCCCATCTTTCCGCCTCTAGGAAGCCAAGGCCAAGCAAGAGAAATTGTCGGCTCAGTTTATGAACGATATTGAGATGGCCAAAGCCCACCGAGATTTCGAGCTGAAGAAGGCTGCTTACGACATCGAGGTGAACACACGGAAAGCAGAATCGGACTTGGCCTATCAGCTCCAGGTGAGCTATCCACCGCGCAGCCAGTCAAGGGGATCGGCAGATGACAGAGATGGAATAAGTCATAGCCTATTTTATTCTCAAATGAAACATGTGCAGAAAAATGTTTGCGATTCCTGCCCCTGGTCACATCCTTCATTTAGAGCAGGTTTCTGTCCAACCATGGCAACCTTAAGACCTGTGGACTTCAACTCCCAGAATTCCCCAGCCAGCATTGGGAAGACTTGTGATGGGGAAGACTTAGAACTGATGATTATGCCCTAGACCTGTGGACTTCAACTCCCAGAATTCCCCAGCCAGCAAGGTTCGACAGCCCTGATCTAGAGCATCATCAGCTCTAAATTTGCTGGATGTTGACATATTGAGCCATGAACAAGCTTCACGAGGAAGTTTCTGAACACTTCAGAGCAGTGGTGGGATTCAAATAATTTAACAATTGGTTCTCTCTCCTAATGACCGGCTGGGTAGGCGTGGCCAGGATATGTGACAGGCAGCACTCAGCTCCCTGCACCCCCCTGGGAGCAAAAATGGGCCATGGGGGAGATGAGCCCCCCCACGCCCCTTTTTTGCCTCCCTGCAGCCTCCTGGAAGCGAAAATGGGCCGTGGGAGCGGCCACTCAGGTTTTGGGCCTAGGAGGCCTCCCTGAAGCCTCCGGGTCATGAAACCGGCCATGGGGGGGGGGCTCACCACACACCCCCACGTCCCATTTTGGGCCTAGTAGGCCTCCCTGCACTTACCTGAGAGCCAAAATGGGGCGCATGGAGGCTCCTGGGAGGAGAGGAGAGGGGTGGAGCCAGCCAGCAATTTAACTACAGGTTTACCCGAACCGGCTGAATCCCACCACTGCTTCAGAGTGTTTTTCTGTATCCTTCACGCAGGTGGCCAAGACCAAGCAGAAAATTGAAGAGGAGAAGATGCAAGTCTTGGTGGTAGAGCGAACTCAGCAGATTCAGATCCAGGAGCAGGAGATGATCCGTAAGGAACGGGAGCTGGAGGCCCAGGTCAAGAAACCAGCCGAAGCAGAACGTTACCGGTTGGAGAAATTAGCCGAGGCTGAAAGGTACGGGCATTAGACTCCCATATCCCCCTCTTTTTTCCTTCCTGTCCAGAATCTGCTCCTATCCCCCTCTTTTTTCCTTCCTATCCAGAATCTGCTGTTATTCATCATAGAAAAGCATTTTTCAAGGAGGAAACTGATGCTGGCTATACCCCTTTAGAGTACAGGGAGTCCTTGACTTATGGCCATAATTGAGCCCAAAATTCCTGTTGCTAAGTGAAACGTTTGCTAAGTGAATTTTGCGACCCATTTTACGACCTTTCTTGCCACGGTTGTTAAGTGAATCTGGCTTCCCCCATTGATTTTGCTTGTCAGAAGGTCGTAAAATGTGATCACATGACTCCCCGTGACGCAGCAACCGTCATAAATATGAGTCAGTTGCCAAGCATCTGAATTTTGATCATGGGGATGCTGCAACCGTTGTAAGTGTGAAAAACGGTCACAAGTCACTTTTTTCAGTGCTGTCGTAACTTTGAACGGTCCCTAAGTGAAATGTTGTAAGTTGAGGACTACCTGTAAAGCTGAAGGGTCAAATAATGGAATGAATCTCCACAAAAATAATACTGATAGTCCTTGAGTTATGACCATAATGGAACCTGTCTGGTCATTAAGCAAACCAGTAGTTTGCAACGGGGGCTGTTTTTGCCAAAAGCCCAAAGTAAATTCCCTTTTTGGGGGGGCAAAACTGGTATAATGGAGTCAGGACACTTCAAACTGCTATAAATGTGACTTGAATGCTACATGCCAGTCACGTAACTGTAGAGGGTGGCGATGGGCAACTGTCAGAATTTCAAATCCGGGTGGTAGGTACCCAACAGATAGGTCTGTCCAAGCCACTAAGCGACTGGTCATAAGTCGAGGACTACCTGTACTCCTCACTCACATACCAGAGATGGGTTTCAGCAGGTTCTGACCAGTTCTGGAGAACCGGTAGCGGAACTTTTGAATAGTTTGGAGAACCGGTAAATACCACCTCTGACTGGCCCCGCCCCCATCTATTCTCTGCCTCCCAAGTCCCAGCTGATCAGGAGGAAATAGAGATTTTGCAGTAACCTTCCCCTGGAGTGGGGAGGGAATGGGGATTTTACAGTATATCCTTCCCCTGGCACGCCCATCAAGCCACGCTCACCAAGCCATGCCATGCCCACCATGCCACGCCCACAGAACCAGTAGTAAAAAAAAATTGAAACCCACCACTGTCACATACGATGCCTAATCTGAAAAAGTAGAATCCAAAAATATCTCGTCATACTAGGCCCTGATGTATCTGGGCTATGCAGAGAACTGACCTGTGGCAAAACTCCTTGGACTGCACCATTTGAGAATTCATTTAAGGATGGTTTGCGTGGCTGAATGCTTAATTTTCAATCACATGTCTCGGGATTCCTGCCCAGCAATGCATTGTGTCAGGAAGACAGTTATCACAGTTGAGATGCTTTTTCTAACTTCAAAACTCTTTTTAGAACCCTGTAGCCTTGGAGCAGGGGGTTGGACTACAAAACCTCCAAGGTTACTTCAAACTCTGTTTATTCCTTCCCTTCCCTATTTGGGATAGAGTCAGGGTGATTGAATATATTGACTGTTTATAGGCTCTTCTCACACACCATAAGTGGACTATTTATTCCCAGCAGATATATATTTTCTCCGCACCCTAGGAGAGAAACATCTGCCACTACCTAGGATTGAACTCGCAACCTTCCGAGTGGGAGGCGAGCGTCTTCACCACTAAACTACCAGGCTGCTATTTTTTTTCTAACTTCAAAGAGGTCTAACTTTCATCCTTTGGAACACCGTTCAGTCCCATTCTGCAATTGTCAGCCCATAAATTTCCCATCCTTTTGCCTCAAAAGGCAACTGAACGGTTGTTTTTTTCCTGGAGAAAGACAGTTATTTTTGTTTCTGAAGAAAAAAAAACCAGTCCAGTTGCCTTTTGAAAAAGCATCTTTGAGACAGTTGTAGATGACTGAGAATCTCCACAGGCATTCTTTAGCCTTTGCTGTTTGATGCAGAAAAGACTTCCCAGCATGGCTTCCACGCATATAATTCTTTTTGATTTCCTGCAACTAACTCTCCAGTTGCAAACCAGGATTACCATGCAGGGCCCTAGAATAATAAGCCTGTTTTCTTGCTCCAGTTTTGTCACCTCAAACTGCTGTCAAACCCTGTCGCTTTTCAAACCTTGTCATATTTTAACTTACTGCACCTGTGTATGGTTTGCCAATTGCACAGTGGCAGATAGGACAGCACTCCAGAGGGTTAATGTCATCGCCCAGAGGATCATTGGTTGTCCTCTCCCCTCTTTGGAAGAGCTTTATAGCTCCCGCTGCCTTAACAAAGTTCAAAACATCCTTAAAAATCCATCTCATCCTGGGCACCCTTATTTTGAACTGTTACCATCTGGCAGACAGTATAGGATAATAAAAACAAGGACAAATTGGCTGAAAAACAGCTTCTATCCCAGGGCAATAACTATATTGAATTCTACTTTATAGTGCGGCACTAATGCAATATCGGGGGTTTTCAATTTACCGTATTTTTCGGACTATAAAACGCACCTGGCTTTTGGGGAGGAAAAAGGGGAAAAAAATCTGCCTCTGCCTCCCAGCAATTTGCCTCCTTGCAGCAAATAGCAAACAGCCTGGTCAGCTTCAGCACAGCCTGATTTAGCATGAGCAGCTGGTTAGCGATTGGATCTGCCTCCTGCAATACTGCCTATCAGCTGTTCCAGGCTGTGGGGATCGCTACCGTTGTGCCCATTGCTGCTGCCACCTATCACCACCTCCGTGTGCCCCATTTTCGGCCTCTCTGCATCCCATTTTTGGCCCATTCCAGGCAGCAGGGATTGGCACTGCTGCCTATCCCTGCCGTCTGGAACGGGCCGAAAATGGGATGTGCGGAGGCTGAAAATGGGGCACGCGGAGGCTGAAAACGGGACGCGCGGAGGGCAAAAATGGGATGTGCAGAGGCGGCGATAGGTGGCAGAGGTGATGGGCGGCGATGGGCGGTGGCGATCCTCGCAGCCTGGAACAGCTGATAGGTGGTATTCCGGGAGGTAGATCCATCCGCCAATCAGCTGTTTGTGCTAATTGTATAGAATATGAAGAATGTGTGTTCTTGTTTTATTTTTATAGTCTTTTTTATGTATAATGTACACTGAAGATAGCATTTAATTTCGTTGTACGAGGTGCAATGACAGTAAAGTATTCAATTCAATTCCTGGTCTTCCCCTCCATTTTGGGAGGCCAAAAGTGGCTTTTGACTGTTGGATGCTGGGCAGACCATGTCCCTGTTTTCTTCCCAAACAGGACTCAGCTCATCATGCAGGCGGAGGCGGAGGCAGAAGCCATCCGGGTGAGCCATTTCTTCTTCTCTACCTCATGGGAACGAAGAGCAGGAAGAAGTGGATGAGAACTTAGCTTATCGTGAAATCCTGTTTTCGTTTTTTAGATGAAGGGTGAGGCTCAGGCGTATGCAATTGAGGCCAAAGCCCGGGCTGACGCTGAGCAGATGTCTAAGAAGGCAGAAGCTTTTAAGCAGTATCAAGAGGTTGCCATGGTGGACATGCTTTTGGAGAAGCTTCCAGAGGTAAGCACGTCCTCCCTGTGTAATCCCAAGGAGAAAAGAAGGGAGATGAAAGTCCCAAAGGTGCTTTTTCAGGAGGCAACTGGACTTTCTAATTTTTTTGTTCTTTTGAAGACGTTTCGCTTCTCATCCAAGAAGCTTCTTCAGCTCTGACAGGACAATGGGGAATGGAAGGATTTATATTCCTTGTAGACAGCTGGACATTTGCATCCTTTTAGAGAGTCCTTGAAGCACTTGGAAGTTTACCTGTGTCCTCAGGGTCACCTGAGTAGTGCTCCTGATTCCTGTAATCTGCATTTTTTTTTCCTCTGGAAATCCATTCCTATTCCCACACCCAAATTGGTGTTCATCCCAAATTGTTTAGCTAAAAGTCTGAGGACACAGATAAACCTCCAAGTGCTGGCTGGCTATTGAGTCACTAATTGTAGTTTCTTTGTGCCTCAAGGTTTGAAAGCCTTGACATAAAAGAGTGGTACTATCGACATCTGAACAAAATCACCACAAAATCACCATGGGATTTGTTAATTGGACAAAGCTGCCAACTAACTTCTAGTATAGATAAAGGAGAATATTTGCATTTCGGGGTTGAAGTGAGGAGGTCCTTGGTGCTTTCCGAGTCTGGTGGTTTTCTTGCAAACATTTCATTACCCAAATTAGGTAACATGCAACAAAACCACCAGACTCGGAAAGCACCAAGGACCTCCTCACTTCTAGTGCTTGGCTTATGACTTAATAATTGAGTCTGGAATTACCATTGTAAGTCATTGCAGTCATTAAGTGGTTAACACATGACCAATTTTATCCAATTGATGTTTTTTGCTGGAAACCAGAAGTATATGGCAAAAACCAGCAAAAAAAAATGCCAAAAATCACAGTCACATGACCAGAGGATGTTGGGAACAGCTGTAAACGCGGGTTGGTTGCCAAGCGTCCCAAAATGAAGTCATAAGAGGAGGGTGCTACCATTATCAGAACTTTGAAATTTGGTCCTGGTTATGTTCTGTAATGTTTGTAAATAATATTTTTTAAAAAAAAAAAAAAGATGGAAAGTGATGTTTCCAAAAGCTTTGTCTAGGAACTCCAAAACAAACACATATTTATGGAGTTCGTTCTCCATACTGATTCCTTCTGGCTTTGGCACACATTTGGGACTCCACATCCCAGAATTGTCCTTTTACAGATAGTCCTCGGCTTACGTCCATTCGTTCAGCGACAGTTCAAAATTATAGCAGTGTTGGGGGGAAAAATGGACCTATTAACCAGTCCTTAAAAGTTTCAGCCATCGCAGCATTCCTGCAGTCAAGATGATTGCGAACTGGCTGCTTGTGTACCTAACTTGTAATTTTGATGTCTCGGAAAACCGTTGTCATGTGATCATCATTTATGATCTTTTTGGCGGCTTCACAGAAACAAATTCAGTGGGGAAGCCAGCAGGAAAAGTTGCAAGTTGCTCCAGAAAGTCACTCCCACTTTTTCTCCAGCCCACAGCCCATCCCTTACCTACATTCAGCCTCCACTGGCTCTCCCAAGCTATCCCTCAGGCTGCCCCTCAGGGCACCTTCACACCAGGGGTGGAATCCAGCAGGTTCTGACAGGTTCTGGAGAACCGGTAGCAGAAATTTTGAGCAGTTTGGAGAACCAGCAAACACCATCTCTGGCTGGCCCCAGAGTGGGGTGGGAATGGAGATTTTGCCGTACCCTTCCCCTGCCACGCCCACCAAGCCACGCCACAGAACCAGTAGTAAAAAAATTTGGATTTCACCACTGCTTCACACCCCTGACTTAGGATTTCTGCCTCTTCCTGCTTAATGACCCACGTGTCCTGGATTTACAACAGCAACCAGGATTGCCCAGGATTGCTGTTATTAAGCAATGTGGTCATGTAATGTCTGCTTGCAATTGCCACCATAAGGTGAGGACTAACTGTACAGTCTTCGACTTATTGAGCCCAAAATTTCTGTTGCTAAGCGAGACAGTTGTTAAGTGAATTTTGACCCATTTTACAACCTCTCTTGCCACCGTCCGTTAAGTGAATCGCTGCAGTTGTTCCCTTAGCAACACGGTTGTTAAGTGAATCTGGCTTCCCCCATTGACTTTGCTGGTTAGAAGGTCACAAAAGATAATCACATGACCCCGGGACACCGCAACCGTCATAAGTATGAACCAGTTGCCAAGCCTCTGAATTTTGATCACGTGAACCATGGGGATGCTACAACGGTCGTAAGAAATGGTCATAAGTCACTTTTTTCAGCGGTGTTATAAGTTCAAATGTAAGTCAAGGACTACCTGTAATTCGGGAGAACCAGATGCAGCCTGCCATTTGACTGGATATGGTTGTGGGCTGCAGGCCTTTTGCAGATATCCATAATCTAAGTCAGAGGTGTCAAATTCAAGGCCCGCGGGCCGGATTTGGCCTGCGGGATGCTTAGATGTGGCCTGCAAGGCTGCCCTGGAAACAGCAAAGAACCGGCCTGCGGTGCCTCTGCCAGCGAAAATGGGGCCGGGCCTCGCCCCAGCTCTGTTTTCGCTGGCAAAGGGCTAGCAAAACAAACTAAAAACAAAAGAAGAAATGTTTCCCCTTTTGAATTTGAGCATGCAACAAGGGACAGGAAAGGAGAAAGGAAAAGAGGAAAGACAAAAAGGAAGATGGGAAGAGATCAAGGAAGGAAAAAATAAGGAAAGAGGGGAAGGAAGAAGAAAGAATGAAGAGGGAAGGAAAAAGAAAAGGGAAGGAAGGAAGGAAGGAAGGAAGGAAGGAAGGAAGGAAGGAAGGAAGGAAGGAAGGAGACTATAATGAGAGTGAGGAAGGGTCTGAGGGAAGTTTTGCCTTAGCACTTGGCCACCACTGGTGCACCACCGGCACGAGTGACATAGAGCTGGCCACACACGGCCACCACGGCCATGCCCCCCCGGCTGCCCCAAAATCAAACATAACCCTGATTCAGCCCTCAATGAAATTGAGTTTGACACCCCTGGTCTAAATGGTCCCTTTGATGGTAATAATATTTTGCTTTCATATACTATTTTGCGCTGGAAAAGTCTTCAATTAGAACTTTCCCTAATTTTTTTTCCCCCACCCCAAGAACCTTGTAAGGTAGGTTGGTCAGAGAGAGAAGCCGAAAGTCATCTCCTCCCGCTCTCCTGACTTGAACGGCAATTTTTTTTATTTATTTTTTTTTAGCTCTTTTTAGCTTTTTAGCTTTTTAAGTGTAAATTGGGTTTTAATTGGATTGTTTTAAATTGTGGGCCAAAGCTGTATAATTCTTTTAATTGATTTTAAATTTTGTATTGGTGTGTTTTTATCCTTGGCTGTGCACTGCCCTGAGTCCAATAGGAGAAGGGCGGTTATGAATTGAATAAATAATAATAATAATAATAATAATAATAATAATAATAATAATAATAATAATAATAATAATAATAATAATAATAATCTCTATATTCACGTTTGCTATCTTAAATCATTGGGCTACCCTCTGTCTTCGACCTTCCCTTCACAGATAGCCGATGAGATCAGCAAACCATTGGCTTCCGTGAGTAAGATCACCATGGTGTCGAGCGGGAACGGAGATGTGGGTGCCGCGAAGATGACTGGGGAAGTCCTGGAAATCATGAATAAACTGCCTGACACTGTTGAGAAACTGACCGGTGTTAGCATCTCTCAGGTATCGCTCAAGGATTGCTGAGCTGTGGGGAGGAAGGGGTGGAGCAAATATAAAGCCCTTCTCAGTAGAAACTAGCTAGAGTAAATATGTAGTTACCTATCCTAGCTTCCATTCCATATTTAGTGGATTAAATAGAACCCGAAATCTGAGCTGTATGGAAGGAGGAATAATAATTGGTTGGAGACAAAGATGAGCAATACCTTGTTGTTATTTCTAGGTTTCATCTGGAAGTAGGTAGCCTGAGATAATTTTAAACAGTGTGCTTGCTAGGGATGCTGGGAGTTGTAATTTTTCAACATTTAGTGTGCCACAGATTGCCTATGCCCGTGATGGCGAACCTATGGCATGCGTGCCACAGGTGGCACGCGGAGCCATATTAATGGGCACGCCAGCTCAGCTCTGGGGCACATGCGCGCGCCGACCAGCTGATTTTTGGGCCTTCTGGGCCCACCAGAAGTAGGGAAACAGGCTGTTTCCTGCCTCTGGTGGACCTCGGGGGTCAGTGGGTAAGGCCCGTTTTTCTTTCTTACCTGGCTCCAGATCCTCTCTATGCATCTGGGAAGGGCGTAAACAGCCTTTCCCACTCCCTTGGAGGCCCTACGGAGGCTGAAAGAGCCCATTTCCCGACTCCCGGTGGGACAGGAAGTGACGTTTTTTCCTGTCCCCAGCCTCCAGAGACTCCTAGAGAGGCTCCTAGAGACTCCTAGAGAGATTCTGGAGGCTGGGGACAGCAAAAAATGTCACTTCCTGTCCCACCGGGAGTCGGGAAATGGGCCCTTTCAGCCTCCGTAGGGCCTCCAAGGGAGTGGGAAAGGCTGTTTCCTCCCTTCCCAGATGCATAGAGAGGATCTGGAACCAGGTATGAAAGAAAAACGGGCCTACCAGGCCATCATGTGCCAGGAGTGAGGGTGGGTGGGGTTGCGTGCGCAGGCGCGTGGGCACGTGTACGTGCGACCCTCCGCCCCTCTCCTGGCACGCAATGGCAAAAAGGTTAGCCATCATTGGCCTATCCCCTATGCCAGTGGAGAACCTCTCTGTTCTAGCGGCTGTTTCGTCTCAATCAACCTTGCCCAATCTAAACATCTTCCAGATGAGAGCTCTTTAATTTCCAGAATTCCCCAGCGAGCATGAGTATTATTGAGATCTCTTGGGGATGAAGAAGCAAAACACCTAATAGCAATAGCACTTAGACATATGTACCGCTTCACAGTGCTTTTACAGCCCTCTCTAAGCGGTTTACAGAGTCAGCCTATTGCCCCCAAACAATCTGGGTCTTCATTTTACCCACCTCAGAAGGATGGAAGGCTGAGTCCAACCTTGAGCCTGGTGAGATTCGAACTGCCAAATTGCAGTCAGCTGGCAAGTCAGCAAAAGTGTACTGCACTCTAACCACTGCGCCACCGCGGCTTTAATTCATATTTCAGTGGGGAAAGTGTCCATGTTCATGGAAGTGATGGCTGAAATTTAATTTTTGGGGTGGGCGCTGTCTCTCCAGCAGATGAATCAGAGGAAACCAGGACGGATGAACTGACGGCTCAGAAGGAGAAGGAAAAGTCTTCTTGAGGGTGAACACCCATGAATCATCATCAATATGCACCCATATTTAGCGTTCCTCCTATCGGTGCCCTCCTGTGAATACCAAACCTTTCTTATGGACAAGATTGTTGCATGTCGACCAGTATCTGCAAATGTTGAGGTCTTGTTACTCTGCTGTAGCACCGGGATAGCTGGTGATGTTGCAGGGTGGACCTGTGTATACTGATTTCCACCGTAAAACAGGATCCTGTTGTTCCTTTCCTTGATGCTGTTTTTGCTACCTGAGCCTGCTGGTCACTAGATACCTTTTCCTATAAGCAAGCTATCCTCAAGGATCTAACAATGGTTCTAGTTCTAAAAAGACTGGGAAAGATATAAGGATGGAGTAAGGATGAAGGTTGAAACCCAAGATCTGTTCTTTTTAAAGGCCAGGTGGGTGACAGGGATTTCTAGCAAGGTGAGGTAATTTAGGGTCTTGTTCAGTCGTTTCCCTAAAGAGTTGCCGCCTATGTAAAGAGAGGAATTCGGTTTTACAGTTCTTATCAAACCTAGTGATGGGTGGGTAGCCCAGTTCTGTTGATCTAAACCAAGGGTGGGAAACGATGGCCCCTTTTAGGACTTGTGGACTTCAACTCCCAGAATTCCTGAGCCAGCCATGCTGAGTTCAGCCATGCTGGCTCATGAATTCTGGGAGTTGAAGTCCACAAGTCCTAAAAGAGGCCATCTTTCCCCACCCCTGATCTAACCCTTCCCAACTTGCTTCATATATCAACATCTCCATGTGTGTGCCATAGTGTTTGGTGCTACTTGTAGCTAAGATTCCTCAACTTAGCAAACTTCTTCCTTTTGGGTCTTTTGTCTTTTTCTTCTGTCCTCGCCTCGCCACCACCTTCCCAGTCCTTAATCTCACTTTTGGAGGGGGAGCCTGTGTCCATAGCAGCTTTCCTGTGTTAAATCAGAAAGATCTCCCTGCCAAGAAGACAATCCACACGGCAACAAGAGACTCCCTCAGGATATGAATGTTCTAATAGGCCTCTCTTCTGCCTGCATGTTCATTTCCTTTTAAAATCGTCATCTGAATGTGCCTTATATCTGTTTGAACTAACGGATTAGATATATATATCATTTCCCTAAAAGGGAAAATATAAAAGGCCCTCATTTTCACTGTCTAGTTATTATTATCTCTGCCCCACGTTTTTGAATGCTCCCTGAAGCTTTTCAGTTTTGTACGGTAACTGCTGATGCTTGTTGTCCCAAATTGTTAAAGGAGGCCACCTGCTCATATCTTCATGAAGCACACTTGGTCAGACGGTAGCCCTTCTACGGTGGCTTAACTATCACCCCTGGACTTGTGCTTTTGGATTCACATATGCCGTGTTTGGCCTACTTGCTTGCTTGTGTGTTATGGCCTCAGCATGGTGCCTTGTCTATGTTCGTCTGAAGAGAAGGACAGTCCATTCTTCATACTACTAAGAATAAAGGCCAAGATTAATTAATGCCTTCTGTGTATCCATTTCTACTTTCTGGTCCATGTTTTCACCATCTAATACTTGAAGCTTGCTTGAGTACAGGTAGTCCTCAACTTATGACCACAGTTGAACCCAACATTTCTGTTGCTAAATGAGGAATTTGTTAAGTGAGTTTTGCCCCTATTTTACAATTTTTCTTGCCACATTTCTTAAGTGAATCACTGCAGTTAGGAACACATTTGTTAAGCGAATCTGGTTTTCCCGCTGACTTGGCTTGTTGGGAGTTTGCAAAAGGGGATCACATGATCACCACCACCCCCGGGACATTGCAACCGTCATAAATGTGAGTCAGTGGTCAAGCATCTGAATGTAAATCACGTGACTGTGTGCACTAAGTCACTGCAGTGTGCCCTATGTCACTGTAATGGTCGTACGCGTGAAAAATGGTCACAAATCACTTTTTTCAGTCCCGTTGTAACTTTGAACAGTCACTAAATGAACTGTTGTAAGTCGAGGACTACCTGTATAGAAAATACATGGCGCAAGCTGCATTTCTTCTGTTTTCACATGTGATCCTGCTTTATCAGTATAGATATAATATGAATTTTGTCTGCATAATCTCTAACATTCCTTTGGATTGCAGTTGGAGTGATTATTTATTATGGTTGGTTACACAGTCATCCAGATGATTAGGCTGAGTTTGGCATTTTTTTATCCACCTATCAAGTTCCTCCCAAAGACCTGGGATAGGCACACATTGTTGTGGAATATTAAATTTATCATCACAGAATGTAAGCTGTTCCAAGTAAAGCTGCCTTTTGCAATTGACCGATAGCGATTTTTGTCAATGCCAATGATGTTCAACGTTGCTTGAGATTGTTGTTGTTATTATATTACACATTGATGGTCAATGCAAGGGAGAGAACCTATGTAATACTCCTGCTTTTTATATTCCCCATAACAACAATCCTGTGAGGAGGGTTGGGCTAAGAGAGAGTCACTGGCCCCAAAATCACCCAGCCGCCTTTCGTGCCTAAGACAGGATTGGAACTCACCGTTTCTTGGCTTCCAGGCCAGCATCATAACCACTACACCAAACTGGCTCTAACCATGAGTATCTAGGAGCCCCAAATTGTATTTCTCTCAGTGTCTAAGCCAGGGGTGTCAAACTTGTGGCCCGCGGGCCAGATGCATCATGCGTTGGCCATCCTCAACCCCATTTTAGCAAAGGGGGGGAAAGTTGTGATATGTCACATGATGACGTCACGAATTTGACACCCCTGGTCAAAGCCATGCAAGCTGCTATGTAAAGAGAGGTTTGAGCTGTCAGGAATTTTTACTGTGGATAATAAAGAGATCATACAGCTAATTTAGTGGATGGTTTCACATATTCTGTGAGGGCATAATACGTATTGCTTCATTTGCTTTTTGTTCAGTATGTATGAACCCAGTTCTTTGTTTGTAAATCAAAGCGTATGGCAAAATATATAGATTTAAGCCATTAAAATAAACCTTGGTTTTGCGTGATCCATAAATGCAGCTGGGCTTGGTACAAGGCAGTGTTGAACCTCAGCAACTTCAAGATGTCTGGACTTCAACCCCCAGAATAACCCAGCCAGCATAGCTGGAATAAGGCAACCTTCTATGGGTGACCCATCTAGCCAAAAATACTCCATCTAGCAATTGGGCCGTTAACGCCTTGCTGTGTAACTCCAAAAGAGGAGGCAGAAGGGCACCTTTCCAAGCGCAACGCAAATTCAGAGCGCACAACTGATTTAAATAGAAATACAAGGCATTGGACACAAATGGGGATGCTTACCAGCTTCATCCAACTTCCCAAACGTGCTGTTGATGCATACATAACCAAATTCTCGGTCTAAAGTTGCAGTCTGAATCTGGTTGTCTAAAAAGCAATTTTGTTCATGCTGGTGAGTTGAGATTACAGCTTCCACATTTGATGGCACTGAATGTTCTGGAACAGTGGCCCCCAACCTTTTGGGCACCAGGGACTGGTTTCATAGAGAGAGGTTTTTTCCGCGGACCGGAGGGGGTGAGGTTTGGTGTGCTGCCTGCATCCCATGGATGGGGCCTCGCTTGTTTGCGCAGCCGGGTTTCTGGCATGCCGCTGCCTGGTGCCTGTCCATGGACCAGGGGTCGGGGACCCCTGTTCTCGAGGCCTCCACACAGTTGGAAGGTGCCCCCTTGGGAACGGTTTGCATTAGAGGACTCCAAGTGGATTTCTGTTGTCGCATTTTATTTCAGAGTATTCTCTGTAACAAGCGGGCAACGAGATGGCTCAGTGGTTAAGACGCTGAGACACGTTGAGACCCGAGTGCCACATGATGGGGCGAGCTCCCATCCTCACCCCAGCTCTGCCAACCAGCAGTTCGAAAGCATACAAATGCAAGTAGATAAATAGGTACCACTTCGTTGGGAAGGTAACAGCACTCCGTGATGTCATGTTGGCCACATGACAATGGAAATTTCTTCGGATAGCACTGGTTCAATGGCCTTGAAACGGAGAATGGGTACCAGCCCCTATAGTCAGCAACGACTAGCGAAATAAAATCCCAATGAACTCATTTATCCTTTTATTCTCTGTAACAAGGTGGGTGCTGTCTCCATAAGAACCTAAGAAGCTTTCAACTGGCTTGAAATATTAGTTTCCTGACCCAAAGGGGGCAAATAATGTATGATTTCACAATGCCTGCCAATCCATGATACAGAGATAGTCCCAAAGGTGCTTTTTTCAAGAGGCAACTGGACTTTCTGGTTTTTTCTTTGAAGACATTTTGCCTCTCATCTAAGAAGCTTCTTCAGCTCTGACTGGATGGAGGAGAAGGGAAGGATTTATACTCCTTGCAGACAGCTGGTCATTTGCATTTTAGCGAGTTGTTAAGGCTACCTGGAGGTTTATCTGTGTCCTCAGGGTCACCTGAGTGGTGCAAATGGGTGTGGAGCCTTCTTGGAACTGTTGAAAGGACTGTGTTGTAGATTGGAGATAGATGATGCATCCCTCCCCCTCTGTTGAGTCCAATTGCCTCTTGAAAAAGCACTTTTGGGACAACCATGAACTGGATGACTGAGATTCTCCATAGATACGTAGATAGTTGATTATAGTTGGTCTAGTGGCCAAGAAGTTTTCAAAATATTGATGCATATGCAAGGATTGTATTTCAACAGAGGGATAGTATCAAGGTCACGAGAAGCGTTAGTATTGCTTTATACTGCACTGGTAAGGTCACCCTTGGAATATTGCATCTGGATTTCACCGCGATACACAAAGGATGTTGAGACACAAGAAACTGTTGTGACCTAGGCCCAAGTAGTTATTACCGGACACAATCAGTCCTAAATGAACATATTTTATTAGAACAGCTTACTTCATTCTCAGCTTAGTCCAAATTAATTCCAAAACAAATCCTTCATAAACAGTCCTTCGGCCTTATCACCAACCTTTGTCTTCTTTGGCACCCCGCCAAAGGCTTTTCTTGGCAAAACTCCACGAAGTTCAGAAGCAAGAGACTCTGACAAGAAACAAATGTAGCAACGTTGCTTTCCTACAAAGAGCCTTTGCTGCTCTTTTAAGCCTTCTGGGAGAGGCCAATCATCTCCTGGCCTTACTCCCAAGTTGTCCTTTTTGCTTTAGCTAGTCTTGCCTTCTGACAGCTCTTCGCATGCATGCACTAGGACAGGGGTCTGCAACCTTTAATACTCAAAGAGCCACTTGGACCCGTTTCCCACAGAAAACAAAACACTGGGAGCCGCAATGCCTGGGTGGGCGTGGCCAACTTGACACTCCCCCTGGTCACATGACCCCCCCCAGCCACGCCTGGTGGGCGTGGCCAACTCAGCATCACTCCCACCCAGCCACAAAACATTTTGAACATGTGTATTGGAGGGTAGGGTGCAGTCAGCTGTCAAACTAAATAAAAAATAGAATAGAATAGAATAGAATTCTTTATTGGCCAAAGAGATTGCAGAAAAAAATGCTTTTAAAAGCCTCTGGCGATCAGGCAACTCAGCTGGGATCTCAGAGGCTTTTAAAAGCATTTTTTTTTCCTACAATTTCTTCGGCCGAGCGGTTTGGCTTGCATTTGGGAGGTTCCCCCCACCACCACCCCTTTCGGCTGTGCACGGAGCGAATCGCTTACTTAGCTTCTCACCGAGTAGCAGTGACTTCCTAGATAGCAAGGCGAAGAGTGACTGGGACTCTCTTCTTCCTTCTCTTATCCGGCGAAGGGAGGAGGAGTGGGGGACAGATGGGGCCAACCAGGTGAGCAGTCTCTTCTTTTCTCAAGCCACGAGAGGAGTGACTGGGGCGATGGGCGGGGCCAACCACGTAAGGAGTGACTGGGAGGGGAGCAAGTCTCTTCTCTTCTCAAGCCACGCGAGGAGTCACTGGGCCCGGGATGAATGGATGGATGAAATCAGCTGGTACTACTGGTGAAAAAGTTAACTACCGGTGGGTGCGACAGGGAGCCACAGGTGAAGGGTGAAAGAGTCGCATGCGGCTCCGGAGCAGCGGGTTGCTGACCCCCGCACTAGGAACAGGCTTCCAGGCTCCAGAGTTAAAATAAACCAGCAGACAAGAATTTCCTTTGATAACAGAATTGGCAGCAACCCAATGGCTGCTTGCCAACAGTTTTTACTTACAAAGGGAGGTTTATCTCCTCCGACCAAAAACATCAAAATCCACAAAAGCCCAAAGAATATTCAAGTCCAGTCCAAAAAATCAGTCCAAGCAGAGCATATAACAAAGTTCCAGAAATGCAGAATGACTTGTTAGCTTTCAGTTTTGTGTGTCACAAAGCCTGAATGGCCACCACACCCCCTTTTATCCCCTGTGGGGTGTGGTCCAGTGACTCAGCTTAATCTCTGGCATGCCTCCTTCTCTGCTGCGCACGCTTGTCTTTCCGACGCTGTCGGGGATCCAGCCAAGACTTATCTCCGTCGCTGTCTAACTGCAGCTGCTCGGAAGTGCCTGGCTCCTGGCCTATCTCTTGGCCTTCAGAGGACACCTGAGGCATTGCCAGAGAGGAGGGTCCTGGAGAGGGAGGCCTTGCCAACTCCTCTCCTTCACTTTCGGAGTCTTCTCCCTCCGATAAGGCGGGCTCGGGGGTTGGAGTCACAACAGAAATGGTATAGAGCCGTGATGGCGAACCTATAGCATGCGTGCCAGAGGTGGCACACAGCACTCACTCTGATGGCACGTGAGCCGTCGCCCCAGTTCAGCTCTGCTGCGCATGCATGCGTGCCTCCCACCAGCCACCTGGTCTTCGGGTCTCTGCTGCACACGCGTGGGGGTGGGGCATGTGCAGGGGCCCGCGTACATTTGGGGGGTGGGGGCATGTGGGGGTACACGCATATGTGCAGGGGGGGTGGGGTGCATTGCATTTTGGGGGGTTTGCACATGTGTGTGTGCTTTGGTCACTCGGTCTGGAAAAGGTTAGCTATCACTGGTATAGTGTTTCCTGCTTGAGCAGAGGCGGTTGACAACAAGAGTGTCAATGCCTGGAATGCACTACCTGACTCTGTGGTTTCATCCCAAACCCCCAAAATTTTAACCTAAGACTGTCTACTGTTGACCTCACCCCATTCCTAAGAGGTCTGTAAGGGGCGTGCATAAGAGCACCAGTGTGCTTACCATCTCTGTCCTACCTAACGTTTCCTCTATTTCAGGGGTGAAATGCTCCCGATCCGGTAGTGATGGTGGCGGGTGGTTCGGAGAACCGGTAGCAAAAATCCCTGCCCCCCCCCCATGCCCAGCTGAGCTACGCAATCATCAGAGGCTTTTTTTAAACTTTTAAAAGCATTTTTTCTACAACCTCTTTGGCTGAAAAAATGCTTTTAAAAGTAAAAAAAAAAGCCTCTGATGATTGTGCGGCTCAGCTGGGATCATCAAAGGCTTTTAAAAGAAAAAACCCCCTTTTTTTTCTTTTAAATGCCTCTGACCATCCAAGCTGAGTTGCCTGATCGTCAGAGGCATTTAAAAGAAAAAAAAGCCCCTGCCGATCAGGCAACTCAACTGGGATCGTCAGAGCCTTTTGAAAGCATTTTTTTACAACCTCTTCCCCGAAGAGGTTGTAGAAAAAATGGTTTTAAAAGTTAAAAAAAAAAAAATTGGCCACGCCCACCCAGTCACATTACCCCACCACCACCAAGCCATGCCCACAGAACCCGTAGTAACAAATTTTAGATTTCACCCCTGCTCTATTTGTATCTATTTTATGTATCCAATCCATGTTTATACTTATTACCTAATACTTTCTTGATAGATAGATAGATAGATAGATGATAGATAGATAGATAGATAGATAGATAGACAGACAGACAGACAGATAGATAGATAGATAGATAATCTCCAAGGTTGCTTCCAACTCTGCTATTCTGTTCATGACTCCTTCTGGATAGGATTATGTCTTAGTTTTGATTCCCTCCTTTCCCACTCTTTTAACAGGCTGCAGCTGAAACGGGCTTCTCATTTAATTCAGCAGGTTTTTTAATCCCC